AGCCCCTCGGGGTTCAAAAGCCACGGCCTCCAGCCCTGCCCTTGTGAACAGCCCCCCACCAGCCCCTGCAGCCCCAACCCAGGCCCAAGCGGGATCTCCTGGTGAAGACGGCGATGAATTGCCACCAACGCAGGAGTTGGAGCGCCGGGAGTCACAGCACAGAGCCAGCTGCTCTGTATCAGGTATATGATATGCTTGCTGTGCCCCCCCGGGACACACGGCCCTAACCCCCACAGCAGGCCCCTGCTCCCCTGGGGATCGCTGTGGACTGGGGATGGGGGCACGCCTGAAGGCACAGCCAGCAGTCTGGGGCGGTGGAGGGACTGAATGTCTAAGGACCTGGATTTTAGCACCTTAAAAATCTGTTTTGCAGCCCAAAACAAGTGAAGCAGGCAGGCCGGCCACAGCCCAGCTCAGCAGTATTTGGGGAGCCAGCTTAGATGTCACCAGGTTGGTGGGGAACCCTGGTTCCCTTTGGCTATGTTTGGAAAAGGTGCGTGTTCTGCCCAGCTCCTCACAGCCCTGCGCAGCTCAGCCCCTCCCCTGGCAGAGGGCAGCCGTTCCGGCCCCCAGCCAGCATTCCCGGAGGTAGAATCCCCTTCTGCAACCATTAAGGCCCTTTATCTGCCCATCCCAGCAAGGCACGGGGGTGCTGCTTCTGGAAACGGCTCAGGCCTAGTCATGCTCTGCCCTGCTGGAAGGGAACTTGTGTCCAGCATCGCTGCTCCTGCCTGGGGGAAGGGGGGCTGCCAGCCCCCTTCTGGCCCGGGCCGGGCTGCACTGGGGGGGCTGGAGGCCACCGGCCCCAGAGCTCCCGCAGCCTCACCCCTCCCCAGCAGCCATTCTCCCTGCCCCGGCCTGCCCCTCCGCCCAGGTAGCCGTGCCTCCAGCAGCAGCTCTGCCTCGGCTACCGCAGCCGGCTCAGTGCAGGAAGGACGCTGTTGGGGGAGCAGCACACACACTAGGAGCTCGTTTCTTTCTTTCGGGTTTTTTTGGTTGACTGGCCTCTTTCCCCAGCATGCCTGTGCCCTCCCACTCCCCTTCCCTTCAGTCTCTGCTCCCAGAGTTACAAGCAAGAATCCCAGTGCAGCTGCAGATCGTGTCCATCAAGGAAGTCTGTGGAAAAGAGGCTGGGGGCTGCAGTGCTGAGGGGAGGCAGGGCACGGGGCCCCCGGGCAGCTCCAGCCAGTCCATGCTGTCCAAGTTAGCCTCAGCCAGATCCAGGGCTATGCCCCCGGAGGGCTCGTGAGCAAAGTGCAATTCCGAGGTGTCCATAGGTGAAGGCGGGTGGTCCAGGATGGCTGAGCTGCTCAGCATCTCACTGTGGAGGTCATCGATCAGGGACAGGGGCTCCGGCCCATCGTGGCCTGCCGTCAGCAGCGGGAGGCCGGTGCTGCTCTCCAGGAAGTCCTCCAGCCGGCCCACGGGCACGGGCTGCCCCAGGGAGACCGGCACCGCCAGCTCTGAGGAATGGTGGCTGCTGGGTGGTGGGGAGCAGGCTGGGGCCACGGGCGGTTCTTTCCCGGCAGGAGACGACTGCTCCTTGAAGTCAGCAGAAATCTCTGTTTGGGGAACAAACGGGCAGGCCGGGATGAGCAACACCGAAGGGGCCTTCCCGCCCTCCAGGGACCCCCCCGCCTGAGCCACCGACCACCAACTGGGACGAGGAAATTCATCCTGTGCCCACGCTGGGCTTGCTATGGGGAGTTTTCCGCCCATCTCTGGGGAATTCAAGCTCTGCCCGGCATCGCAGAGGAGGTGTGCCCAGACCCAGCGCAGCAGAGCCGCCCAGCAGCTCCACCGTCCTAATGCCCGACCGGCATCTCCCTTGGGGCCTCCACAGCAGCTGCCGAGGCTAAAGGCGCTGGCAGGGATGCGGAAGCAAAGACCTGGGCCGTGACAGACTCTCCCCTCAGTGCTCCACAATCCCCAGGCTCAAGCCCAGCGACTGGGAGACGCCGGCGTCGTCTCCTTACCTCCGCTTTCGATGAGGATGTCAAACAGGTCATCCATCTGCTGGCTGGCACAGCCATTCTCCTGGGGAGAGCGAGCGCAGGATTAGCTTCCTAGTTACCAGGGGAGCTTCCACCCCCAGCAGCGCCCCGGCTGCTGGCTCTCCCTCGCCCCAGCCCGGAGCGTTGTCTAGCAAGAGGATCGCACAGAGGCACGGCAGCTCCGTAACCCCCGGGATGGGAAGGAACAGCCAGGAGCTGCTGTACCAACGACCACCAGGCAGGGAGTGCCTTGGGATCGCTACCTGTGGCTTAGGGTCTGCCCCAAACCTTCTCCAGAAGGTTCTCTGGCCCGGATCAGGACCCTAAGCAGCTCTACAATGGCAACTTGTCACCCGCTCTTTTTTCCAGGCGTAGAGCCGCTCTCACCTGGGCTTTTGGCTGCTGCTTCACAGCCTCTTCGTAGCCTGGTGGCTCTTTCATTGGGACCGAGGGAACAGGGAGAGGAGGCGGCGGCGTTCCAAAAAGCGACGTGTGCTGCGGCTGCTCCAGGTCCATGTGGGCCGGGGAAGGGGCAGCAGGAGAGCCGGGCTGCGAGGAGGGCTGTTCAGAAGGAAGGCAGGAGGCGATCAGGGCAAAGCCCACGGCCACTCTGAGACCCCACCACCCCCCTCTCTGCACTGCTCTGCCCCCGGTCGCTCCGTGTGCTCCGTGTACCACCCCTGGCTGCAGGCGAGGAAGGCAGACCTCCCCTCCCACACACAGCTGGAAACCTGCTGATCTGTCTACGGCTCAAGCAACCCCAGCACAGAGCGCCACGGCTGCTCCTGCACGGGGAGCGCCTCATCTCGCCGAGCGGGGATTCCTCGCTTGGGAGAGGGGGCACTTCCCTCCCGCTGTTCAGCCTGCTCTGCGCAGCGTAGCTGGGATCTACCTTCTCCCCACCTCCCTCGGCCCTGCCTGCTTGGGGGATGCACTCCAGCTTCACCAGCAGCGCGTTCCACAGCCGGATGGTGGGCGGAGAGCACCGGAGCGCTCCAAAGGAAACCCCGAGCCCCGAGCGTGGTGTCGGGGGAAGCGGCGCTGTGACTCAGCTTTACCGGATGAATCGGCACACAACTGCCTGCGAGGAACGCTAACACGCGGAGCGGGTCTGGGCTTCCGCAGCAGCTAGGCGTGACCCTGGAGCGGTGATCCCCGGGCAGCAGCTAAATGCCATTCCCAACATCTGTACGTGTCGCTGCTGTTTTCCCTGGGAAGTCTGTTCTGTG